AAAACGTTCGTGGGTTTCCTATGCAGGCTGTATTCGTGGATCATGGAGGTAAATTACCCATAATTAGGTAGCAGAGTGGTACGGTGTTCGGTAGTTTGCATTCGTATGATGAATTCTTTAAAAGTCCCAAACTGCTGTATAGCAAAATCCCCACGAAAGCAGGTAAGGATCTTCACTTTGTTACAGTTACCACAAGATTGGGAAGGAGCATGTGTATTAGGTATGCTCAAACCATCTTTCTTCTTGTTGCCAATTGAGACAGGAGAGACCTTGGGAGTTAAGGTTTATTATGTAAATCCTAAAAAGAAGCGAGCATCCTTGAATATAGGTAGCTGGGAAGATGATGAGTAGCCTACCCAATGTATTATTAATTATGGACCTGCTACTTGGGCAGAAGATGGTACCTATTGATATAGAACCCCAATATATATGCTCATCCGTATTACAAGACTACAGGCGGTGGTTGAGATTATCACTAATGAGACAGCTCAAGCACTTAATCTTCCAGCTAAGCAAAATACTCGGATATGATCAGCCATCTATCAAAATAGATTAGCCCTGGACTACCTATTAGCAGTAGAGGGAGGTGTATGTGGAAAGTTTAATCTCAGCAACTGTTGTTTGCACATAGATGATGAAGGGCGGGCAGTGGCTGAACTTACAAGCCACATGGGTAAACTGACGCATGTACCTACTCAGGTCTGGAATGGGTATAATCCTAGTAGTTGGTTTGGAAGTTGGTATGAGCAGCTTGGAGGGATTAAGGAGTTAGTAGGAGGAGAAGTATTCATTATATTCTTATGTCTCTTTCTGCCCTGCCTAATTCCATTAGTGGTCAGATCTATACGTAGTATCATAGAGAGTACTATAGAAAGAAAGACAGCTGCTCATGTAATGGCGGTCTATGGATATGAATCCCTAGCCCAAAGAGAACATATTCAGGATGAGGAATGCTGAAGGAGTTTGTGATGATGCTAAGATGCTTACAAGGTCTGTTCTGGTCCAATGGCTACTTGAGAGGTGTTGGTAAACTATTATTGGTGATGCAACTGGAATAATTTTGTATCAGAGGCATCAAAGGGAGGAATGTGATGGAATTTCGGTGAAATGTAAATTTAGTAGGCTGAGATTTCCACGTGCCATATGTGTATGTTGTATCAGTTAGTTAGTTACACGTAGCTAAGATACTGTCATCAATGTACTGAGCATGTGCAGGAATGCAGGAACTGAAATCACACTCCTTTCTCCTTTGTTTCGGATGAGCCATGGGGTCTGCCCATATAAGGAAATCCAAATCCTGTCCACTGATTGGTTAAGGATATGTGCGGGTGGAGCTATTAATGGGAGGAGTTATAGTTCTATAAAAAGCACGTACTCCATGTGTTCGGCCCTCACATCTGTTTTGGAATGTTAGTTCATCTGAGACCCGATCGGTATGTTAATAAAGACCTCTTACTTCCTGGAAACCTGCATCCATCTCTATGTGTCTGGCTTCTGCAAGTTTACTTGGTTACAATGCAGAAAACTCTACTCCTACTCCAGGCAGTGGCATACATACCTGGCCGCCCTGCGACCCGATATGTACACCAGTGTAGCCAGCCTCTTCAACTGGGGGGCCCAGGAGCTGACCACCTCAGGCCCTCCCCGAGGCTGGCCCTGGTATCACCGGGCTGGCAGGTGCACGAGGGAGCACTCTCCCCTGAGCGTTCTCTGCCCAGCTCTCTGGTGCACCGCACTGTTGCCGGAACCGGAATATGACGTCATATTCTGGTTCCGGCATCAGTAAGCGGCGCGCAAGGGAGCTGAACAGTAGGATCTCAGTGCTCCCTCGTGTGCCCACAGGACCGGCCACCCAACAACACCACTGGAACCCAAGGAATCCCCCTCAGCACTCCAAAAGGCTGGGGGATCAATTTTTTTTTTTTTTTAAAACATGTGTATGTGTGTTAATGTTAAAGTGTGTGTGTGTGTCTTTTAGTGAGTCTGATGTCTGTGACAAAATGCCTTTTGTCACTGGATTTTTATATGACCAACTGACCTTTGCCCCTGGCTGTTAGAGGAGCCTGATTGCCAGCCTCCTCCCCCATGACTACGGCCCTCGGGTGTATTGCCATTTAAAAAGACTATTTGGGGCTTATTGGCTTCTAAAAGACTGTTTCTGCCCATTTGAGGAAGATGTGTCTCTTCCCCTCCCCCATTTCCTGTCTATTGTTCCAGCAGGGTGTTGTCCCAGGCACACTGCCAGACCAGTTGGAACTTGCTGTTTTGCCCCTCCTCGGTCTCTCATTAGCTCTTGCTATGTTTTAACCCCATGGCGATTTGACTGTGTTTGTGGTATCTGAGCACTGTTTGGATATAGTGAGCGCTCAGATCCAAGCTATCTGGGGATAGGTTAAATGTGGGGGTTCTGTTAAGTATAATAGGAATGATGTATTTTTATGTGTTTTTACTGTTGTTGTGAATAGAGCTATTTTCTGTATGCTGGAGGTAATTGGCTTACTCCAAGCCATGCTTGCAGATGGTCACAAAGGGACTTTCAACCAACTTTTGACCCACTGGACCAATTTAAATTATTTTGACATATGTTTGTATTTGGAGTATGCTGATTCTGAAAATGTAATTTATGTGAATGTGATGAATACTTTTAGAGTTATGAATATTGTGTAAAACTGTGTATTTTCCTGCCTGTGATAATTAAGTTAGACTATTGTGTTCAGTAATTAACCAATTCATCAATATCTTAAATCAATCCACACCTCCCAGGCTATGCATAACACTCTAATTATATAATGTCCTAATGGATCCAAAGCCAAAAAAATAATGTATATACAAAAAAAGAATGTCCCAAAACAATATATATATATATATATATATATATATATATATATATATGTGTGTATATATATATATATATATATATATATATATATATATATATATATATGTATATGTGAAGCAGCCAAGAAAGTTGCACAAAATTGAAAAAAAATTAAAAAAATGTGAAAATGGAAAAAAATGCAAAAAGCTTTGAAAAATAAGTCCTTGCTGGAATCACTGTATATATATATATACTATGTAAGTATGGTTGGATCTCACCATATGCTGCAGTGTAGTTTATCAAAAACAGCATCCATAAGCTCTTATGTCCTCTGAACATGCCATAGGAGTAAAGTGTGGATGGTAGTTGGTTATATCAGGCGGCTGGAATAGTCGTCAAGCTGATTATGTCAGGCGGCTGAAAGTCGTCGGGCTGCGCGCTCGGAGTTTCAGTTCCCTTCAATGGCCCCTGTTTAACCACTGAACAGTGCTGGTTAAATGCCGATTCCGGCGGTAAAAAAATCCTTTCACTTCCGCATTGACGTGATGACGTCATCCTAATACGAAACGTCAAACGTAATATCAAATAAACATTATTAACACTATAATCCTGACAATAATGTTAAATTGTAAGTGGGACAGGTTCTTTACTACAACAACCAGCTGAGATTTTGGATAAATTCCTTATAAAATATGTTTCCTTACAAAAATCGTATATTAAAGATACCACGTCATTCCTTAAATTATTAGACAACATCCAAGTGCCAGAAGGAGACTTCTGGCTGGTCACAATGGATGTTCAATCTCTCTATACTTCAATAGATCATCAGAGAGGAGTAGAGGCGGTAAATTGGACATTAGATAGAGATTTGATACTTGCACAACAAGGAGATACTAAAAAGTATATAACAGACCTGTTGAGAGTTATTCTCACTGAAAACTGTTTTCTTTTTGGGAATAACTATTACAAACAAATTAAGGGGACAGCTATGGGCTCTAATGTCGCTCCGACATATGCTAACATCTATATGAACCACATGGAAGAGACGTGCATTTACAATCATCCTCTCTACACCAAGTGTTTGGTGTGGAGACGTTACATCGATGATGTGTTTATAGGTTGGAGCGGCACTAGGGCCCAATTACAGGATTTCTTTAACTCATTAAATGAACAGGACCCCTTTATTAAATTTACCATGGAATGTGACAAGGTGACAGTTCCATTTTTAGATGTTCAAGTATACCGATCGGATGATCGATTACATAGTGATCTCTATATTAAACCGACTGACCGAAATAACTTATTACAGTATGAATTCCAGAATCCACCACTCTTTTCATACCAATGGGCTCCTAATCTCAGAGATTTATTAATCAAATCAGACATTGGTAGTTCTAAAAAACAGACTACATTTTTTTCGGAGCCAAAGAAAGGCACATTTTCCTGCTTAGGCTGTTCACATTGTAACAGTGTGATCAGGGAAGAGTATTTTGTTCATCCTCGATCAGGAAAGACATTTTCAGTTAATGGTTTTTACACCTGCAGCTCTGATTATGTGGTGTACATCCTTAAATGTCCCTGTGGGTATCTATATGTGGAGGAGACCATCAGACCCGTCAAAGAGCGGATAGGGGAGCACAAGAGAAGTATCAGGGTAGCCCTTCAGCGGGGTACCAGTGAGGCCCCGGTGGCTAGACACTTTAAGACACAAGGCCATGGAGTTAATCAGTTAAGATTTCAAGTCATTGACAGAGTACCCCCCTTGAGAAGAGGTGGAGACAGACAAAAACTCCTTATGCAAAGGGAAACTAAGTGGATTAGCATTTCAGAGACACTATCGCCCTCAGGATTGAATGAGGATTATGACTTGAAACATTTTCTATGATCTATACTATTGTCGTTGACTTCGTTTATTATGGGCTCATGTGTACCTTGTGCTCTCTACAGTGCTCCCACCAGACCACTCGTGGTCCGATCCTCTTTCCCGGCAACCCTTTGACCTTTGCAGGTCCGTAACCTGGATGGATTTCTCCAGGGTCCCTCACAATAAGTACCTCGAGACACAGGGACACTACACGACCGGTGAGTCTGTATGTGATGAATTATTGTTAATTCAATTTTTCTGTTTAGACTTTGAGTGTACATTTTTATCGTACAGATTTTTAACGATTACAGCTTATTATTTTTTATATTATTATTATTTTTTCTATTCCCCTGATGCCCTGTTACAGGTGAGCAGCCCTTCAGGAACTCAGATTATAGATATCACCAAGGTGGATTATGGTATACCGTACAGACTTATGGCAAGATAATTCATAAATTACTTGGATTGGAGCATGAGACCTGGTGAATATAACGCACATTTACATATTTAATCTTTACTACATTGAACTTACTCTTAGTTAGGACTAATTTCCAGCTTTCCACTAACCAATTAATCAACTAACTTACAGTTAGATATAAAATTAACAATTTAGACTGTTTTTTCAAAAAGATTTCCAGGTTTGGAACAAGTAACATTGGCCAGACATTGTTTCTTTCCTTAATTTGGACTAATAACCATTATTGTCTATCTCTTTTTACATAGTATTTAATATGGGTGGTTACAATTTAACATTATTGTCAGGATTATAGTGTTAATAAAGTTTATTTGATATTATGTTTGACGTTTCGTATTAGGATGACGTCATCACGTCAATGCGGAAGTGAAAGGATTTTTTTACCACCGGAATCGGCATTTAACCAGCAATGTTCAGCGGTTAAACAGGGGCCATTGAAGGGAACTGAAATCCCGAGCGCGCAGCCCGACGACTATTTCAGCCGCCTGACATAATCAGCTTGACGACTATTCCAGCCGCCTGATATAACCAACTACCATCCACACTTTACTCCTATGGCATGTTCAGAGGACATAAGAGCTTATGGATGCTGTTTTTGATAAACTACACTGCAGCATATGGTGAGATCCAACCATACTTACATAGTATATATATACACAGTGATACAGTGATTCCAGCAAGGACTTATTTTTCAAAGCTTTTTGCATTTTTTTCCATTTTCACATTTTTTTCATTTTGTGCAACTTTCTTGGTTGCATCACATATATATATATATATATATATATATATATATATATTGTTTTGGGACATTCTTTTTTTGTATATACATTATTTTTTTGGCTTTGGATCCATTAGGACATTATATAATTAGAGTGCTATGCATAGCCTGGGAGGTGTGGATTGATTTAAGATATTGATGAATTGGTTATCTATTTCAATGCTGTATCCTTAGGATAAGTGATTTATTAAATATTTCTTTGATGAATTTTTCATATCTGGAATGTGATCATCAGATAGCTATGTGTAGATATATGAATTGATTGGTTTCTATATCTTATTAAATTGTATATATATTTTTTTGCGTACTGAATAACATTCTGCTTCTGGTATTATTATTATTATCAATTTTGAGTGTGGTATTTAATTTAAATTTTTTTTGGTATATTGGTATATGAGGTTACATGTAGAGGGGAATACCTCTAAATACCAGCACCATCTAGTCATTGAGTGCAAACACTACTTACAGTTTGGTGTTCAGTAATTATATCACAGGCAGAGGGGTAGATTTTATGTGGGAGTGTCTGAGTGTATTGTACGTATTGATTGGTTGTTCTGCAAAACCCTGTGGGCAGTACTATGTGTGTAAAATGTGCATAAAAGCAGAGTGTTTGATTAAATGCTTCTGTTCTACTTCACCCTCAATTTGGAGTGCCTTCTCTTATTGGGGGAATCTGCTACAAGGGATTGCTATGCTAGTCATACTCCCTTGCTATATTATTACTAAGCTCTTGTAAGAGCTTGTTCCTGCCTTGCTCTCTGGAGGAGTCTACGATGGTTATGGTGTCGGCTGGAGTGCTTGGAGCCCTCAGGAAGCGTTAGGAGCATCCTGCAATGGAGGTACCCAGTCAGGGTGCCAGGTGATCCGTTACAATGTCTGTTAGTGAGTGTGTGTTTGTCAGTGAGAGTGTATGTTTTGTAAGTATGTGTTTAAAACCCCTTCAGCACTTACCTTTCTCCAGCGCCGGATCCTCCACCCCGATCCGCCTCTCAGCTCTGAATGCGCATGAGCGGCAAGAGCCACGTGCGCATTCAAACCCGCCCACAGGAAAGCATTACTCAATGCTTTCCTACTGACGTCCAGCGTCTTCTCACTGTGATTTTCAATGAGACAGCCACTAGAGGCTGGATTAACCCTCAGTGAAACATAGCAGTTTCTCTGAAACTGCAATGTTTTCAGCTGCAGGGTTAAAACTAGAGAGACCTGGTACCCAGACCACTTCATTGAGCTGATGGGATCTGGGTGTCTGTAGTGGTCCTTTAAGTGTGTGTGTATCTGCATGCACTGGCATACATACCGCGGTCGCAGGGGCGACCAGGTGCCCGCCGCCATGTGTTCCAGCTCGCGCAGAGTAAGAGCGGAGGGGGGGGCCTGTTGTGGATCCAAATAATGATCTTTGTTATATTCAGAGGAAGCCCAAATTGTTGTTACAAGTGCACTTGGAGAAGCGAGAATTAGACACCAGACACCTGTTGTTATTCAAAATAAGCCTCTGACGTTTTATTCATCAGCTGGGTTTTATACATTAAAAAGTAAGTGCTTACGTGCAAATACTCTTAGAACAGTAATAGGGAGTACAGATACGACATAGGGATAAACGTCATGTACACATAACAAATAAGTTCCAAGGTAAGAAAGAACAAAAAGATTAGAGAAGAGACATCTTAGGTGGGGGCTCTCTGCTCCCGGAACTAGACATATATGGTCGTAAGTGTTGTTTAAGCATCAAGCATTTCCTGAGTCCAAGTTAGCCAATTTTAATATAAGATATCATTATATGACACCTATAAGCTTGAGCCTTGGAATAAAGATACATTCTACCACAGTTGCAAGAACAAGACATTACATCACATACGGTCAAGGTGGTTCACATTTTTACCCTTTGGGCAATAACAGTGGAAGATGTATGTGGTGGACTCGGTGCTCAGTGTTTACTAGCCAGAGAGGATGCGGGGGAGCGTTCATCCAGCTTCAAATTGAGATACCATTGGTACCTGAAAGTTAAGGGGTGTGCGGGGTGGGGGAAACAGAATGAAAAAGCGAGGGAGGGAATACCTTGAGTTTTAGAGCAGTTTCATGCTCGGTTGGGGTATCAAGATTCATAGTGTACCGAGTGTGTTAAGTGTCTTTCGTGGTGGCTGAGTCCCATATATTCCAGGCCTCTTGCCAAAACATAGAAACATAGAATGTGACGGCAGATAAGAACCATTCGGCCCATCTAGTCTGCCCAGTTTTCTAAATACTTTCATTAGTCCCTAGCCTTATCTTATAGTTAGGATAGCCTTATGCCTATCCCACGCATGCTTAAACTCCTTTACTGTGTTAACCTCTACCACTTCAGCTGGAAGGCTATTCCATGCATCCACTACCCTCTCAGTAAAGTAATACTTCCTGATATTATTTTTAAATCTTTGTCCCTCTAATTTAATTGTGGTAGTTTTTCTTCTTTTAAATATAGTCTCCTCCTTTACTGTGTTGATTCCCTTTATATATATATATATATATATATGTGTGTGTGTGTTTGCGTGACTTGTTCCATCAGTACCGACATTGCCGGAGTGGAGATAGATAGCCATCTGCGTGCTAGTAGCGTGAGTGCGGCTACCAATATGTGGATGATCAGATACAATTGATTGATACAATCAGATACAATTTCTTTCCGGTACATGCCTCTATTAACCCCTTAAGGACAGATGATGGAAATATTCCGTCATGATTCCCTTTTATTCCAGAAGTTGTGTCCTTAAGGGGTTAAGGAGAGAGTTTGCGTCCAGTAATGTGTTAAGCTAGGGCAGCTCCACCAAATATGTAACATAGAGCCCCAGTCTGCCTTGCATCTCCAGCAAGCGTCAGGGTATGTAGGATGGATTTTTACGAGCCTCGTCGGCATCATGTACCACCTGTACATCATTTTTCTTAAGATTTAATTATGGGTTACGTTCAATGTATTGTTAGGCTTGGGTAGAAAGAACTAACCCTAAAAAGTGGAGAAAATGGTAAGGATTGAGGATGAAGAAAAAGATCTCAACTAGTATAAATAGCCCCCCATAAAGGCATAAAATAAAATAGTAAAAAAGCTGTAGGTGGTAAGCCCTACACATACCAGGAGATCTAATAAGGAACATAAAGAATACAGAAAAGACCAATAGTTAAAAGAAAAAAAAATATAAAAATGGAAAGAACATAGATCTATATAAAAATATAGATAAGGGCAGCAGTAAAGATAAAAGTATAGCTCGAGAGAGAAATCAAGAGGAATATATAAGAGACTATGAGAAAAGATGGTGTGAATAATGATGGAGATAAACTGCAACAGGGGAATTACAGGAATATGAACAGAAAACTGCTCAAAATAGATGTAACACCATAGAAGTGACTGTAAATGTCACGATTCGGGGAACCCAACACGCTGGCACACACACACACACACACACACACAGAAAAGGGGATATTAATCATTTACCAACATTTGAAAGCCACCACTTACGTACCGGACCTTAGAGTGGCCGGGCTAAGCACGCTAAGAATAGTCAGGAGATAAGCCAAGTAAAGGGAGCCAGAAAACGGGAGAACGAGAAACAAGCCGAGGTCAAAGGAGTGGAGAAGACAGGATAATCGAAATAACAAGCCAAATAATCAGTAACCAGAGAGCAAGACGAGAACACTACGCTACAGGTATCACAAGACCACAACAGGGCACTGAGGGACCCTTGGTTTAATTCTGATTGGATAACTTCCAATCAGAATTAACAATCACACGTGGGGGATATCTATACCTCCCACTGTGATTGTGGTACTGTTTCTTTAACGCCGGGTCACTCACTTGACCCCGGCGTTTACATAATTCATTGACAGAAACAAAAATGCCTGACCATGATGTGCAATAATAATCAAAAAAATAAGAATTGACACAAAGATAAACAGTCAACTATACCGTGAATTGATATTGAAATAAATCTGTCCAATAAGGAATATAGCAGCAGAAAAATATATCAAACAAAAGTCCGGTATAAAGATATGCTTCCTCTAGCTCAGAATGCAATAGCAGTCGATGTAAAACTGTCCCAATACGTAGAGATCCTTAGAAATCCTTATGTTCGTCAATGAGATACAATGTCTGCAAACAATGTAACAGCTGGTATAAACTGAAAGTAGCAGAATATTAATAAATACCTGCCACACAGTATCAGTAGCTGTAATAGTATAGCCCAAAATGGTGAATAGAGACTAATATTAGTTAAGTCATGCAGCAACAACTGGAAAATCACTACCTAGATCACTGACAGAGATCTAGAGTATTTAGATATTCCTCTCAGGGATTCAGCAGGATATAGCAGGCACCCATATGTAAATAAAAACTCCAAATTTATTAATAGAGTAACGGATAAAAATAAACTCACAGTTTATCGTGAAATATAAAAAGGGAGGTCTGAGTCCTTAGGGATAAACAGAATCAGGGTAAGCTGGTTCTCTCTTCTCCTCTGGTCGGTCAAAAGGTAGAAGGATGTGGAAATGCCCGCAGGATTGATGTCTGTACCTTCGCGTGCGTTCCACTTGCTGCCCGATCTGCGTTCCACTAAATCTCGGTAGGGGTGCGTGCATGCGGCTCCTGCCGTAAAATGCCTTACGCGTTTCGTCACTGAGTACTGTCACTTCATCAGAGGCTTATAGTCCAATAAGGCTGTCAGTCTGCTTTATATAGTTGGTGTAATTAAGTAAAGTGGTTGCTGCAATAGACTTGACTAAACATTGTGCTAAAACAGTCTGTCTAATAATCAGCGCTCGTTAGATACATATAATAAA